ATTGTCAAGAACTCGCGAGACGCGAACAATCGTATCTCCTCTTCCCAAATCGTCCATTTTCGTGCACAATCTGAGCGTCGGTAAGGGAGACATTACCGTATTTCGATTATCCAAATCTCGACTCGAGTGAAAAATCAAATTGTTCTTCGAGTAATCCGATATTCCGTGTTGCACGACCGTTGCGCGTCCAGCACCGCCCGAAGCGATAAATAAATAAATGGAAACGATTCGGGGATATTTAACGGATCGATCGAAAGTTAAGGAAAACGTTCGAACGAGCCAATTGCTTCGCTTGTTACCGTCGACGAACAAATTAGGATTAATTAAAAGGATCCGAGAAAGAGCATCGCGCGAATGGCTGAAAGATCGCGTTAAATCTCCGTGGATTAAATTACAAATGCTCGAGACCGAGAGCGCATGCTAGAGAGTTTTTACGTAATTGAATTAGTCTCGTCTGCGTGCGCCACGTGAACCCGCAGACTGGTTACGCTGAAACACCATGTATACATATGTATAATAGCGATAGCCGGTTGCCTGGAATTCCTGGGGATGTCGGGCCGCCGCAAGGGTCTGGACGCGGGCCTGCATCTGTCGTTAAACTTTTTTCTCCCTAATCCTGCCTGGATCGCGGTAATAACCCATCGCGAAAGTTTCCATGTTACACAAATCTGGCGGCGAGCCAGAGAAAAATCCGCGGAGCAACGCGGCGAGCCTTTTTCATCCTACCCTGGACCGAACTATTCGATGCTATCGTCCCTGCATATTTAGTCGCGAGGCCCAGAACGAGGAAACGGAGATAACAGGCCCGGAATTTACTGTAACCGCAGGAAATATCTTCGCGAGAGAGATTGAGAGAGAGAGAGAGAGAGAGAGAACGAGAGCGAAGAACAAGAGAGCGGAGAGAGAGAGAGAGAGAGAGAGAGAGACCGGAAAAACCGTGAAACGATTATCGCTCCGATCGTGAAATACCGTGAATTTCTCGCCACAATTATCGTCGGCTTCCCGCGGAGACATCATTTTCGTTTTGCTCCAGCGAGTTAATGTCGCACGAACCGATGATGATTATTTGTTCTGCGACAGGTTCCGCTCGGACATCACGATCGTTTATATCAATTCCGGAGTCTCGATACACGACGCACCGATGATGAATCATCTCGCTCCGATCGGCGATCGTCGACGAATCATCCGAGAAGAATGCTTAGGTTGGTAACAGCTCTGGCCGATCGAGCTCGCTGTTACAAGAAACTCAACAATTGTATAAATTAAGTCAGTTTGGAGTCAGATTTTACGAATTTGTCCGATGATTCGGTACAGAGTAAAGGACAAAACGATCGTTTCACTGATTTTTACGTGCCTGCTTTCGTCCGCTTCTAAACCGAGTTTGAAACCCGCGGTTTGGCTGCCACGGCAACAACCTCGAAGATTTATATAATTATATAAATATATAATAATTATATTAAGGTTGCACGATAATTATTTAATAAAGTTGCACGACGTTAATTACATTCTCACGTTTCGCGAGTCTCGATGAATAATTCCGTGAACCGCGCGCGGGCGACACGACGGTAATTAAAGTGTAAATCACGAGCTAAATTAAGTTCCTCGAACCTCTCGAACACGTAGGATCGATAAAATGGACCTAATCCGTGCACACGAGTGATCGAAACGCGGCGAGATTCGAAAGATTCGGACGAAAGATTAGATCAGCCGCTGTTATTAACGTTCGCGTAATGTTCCAGTTCGTCGGAACAGCGCCGGCAAATGAAATATTATAATAAAATAATAAACAAATGAAAATACAAAATTTTTAAAGTTTTATATTATAAATAAACTCGAGAGACGAGTTATATAATTATATAATTACTAATGATCAGTATATAAGTTATAATATATAACTATAATACTATATTATATATATATATATATATATATATATAATAATTATAATATAATAATATATAATAATAATAATATAATATAATAATATGATATAATAATAATTATATATATATATATATATATATACTATACTGAAATGTCCATAATTCGGCCTTCCAACTAAATACGTGCTCCGAACGAAATATTACAGCTGGCTAAATAAATATTGCTCCATCGAATCGAACAAATCGGCGGAGGACGAAGCAATTAAACTCCATTGGTCGCGATTTATCGGTGGCTCGGAGCGATCAACGTTATTATTCGCGCTGCCTAATCATATATTAAGATCGCGGAGCCGATAACCGGGGAAACCGTGGCGGGCAGAAACTCGGCGGCCTCCGTCGGCCATCGAGCAGGCCCGCCAACCTGAAACGTCGCGTATTATACGAGGAATCGCTGATAAAAAGAGCAAACCGTCGAAGTTTGCGCTTCGAGGCGGCGGCGGCGGCCGTTTAATGCCGGCGCGGCGCGGCGCGGCGGAGAAAGAGGTTCAAGGAATTGGATCGTTCGGGTCTCCGAAGCGAGCATCAAGGATCCAGTTACCGGTGCGGCGCGATCATCATGGCCGCCGCACTGTGTACACAATCCCACGGGCGAAATTGACCGTGAACCTTTCTGACCCAGTTGCTTACATAATTGATTCGTCTTCGTTAGCGCGACTCTCGTTGCGCCGCGGCGATGCAACGGAATTACGTGACCGCCATGGAAATGCGGGGGCGGCCCGCGACGATCCCCGTGGAATTCCGAAACGCGAGAGTTCTTTTTCTCCATGGTCCGTCTCCAATCCTTTCACCTTTCCTAGCGGACTCCTCGATCGTTCAAGCGGCCAGCTCGCTCGTAATACTTTTCACGTTCCCGAGGAATCTATTCTTCGGAGGAGAAAGAGGATTCGGAGTCGTTTCACGTTCGCCTTTTCTATACCTTTTCCTCTCGGTAGCTCGCTTCTCTTCTCTTTTTTCTTCTTCTTCGACTAATTTGTATTTGATTCGGATCTCCTTCTGTACTCTCCGTTTACCGAGGCTCCGGCGCTTCGACGAATTATTAATTAGAACAGAGGGAACGTCTTCGATTCGAGGCGAGCACGATCGGGGGCGATTCTAAAGAAAGATTTCATCCGGACGCATCGCCGTTTTGTTCTGAAATTTATTATTACGAAATTTATTGTTCGAATTTCTGCGTCGCGCGTTTCCAATTAAAAATCTGCCACGTTCGAGCCCGGCCGTTTCACTAAAAATTTCGATTCGAACGGATAAAAGTGTCTCCCTTGCGCCCATCGAAAGCGGCATAAAAACGAGGAACGAATTATTAAGGGGAAATCAATTACCCGGGCAGCGTGTTTCCATTTCTATTCGATTTTACATCGTAAACAACACGCGGCCGTACTATTAAAAGGTCTTTCCTGTTCGATGCGATGCAACGCGCATGACAATCGAACGCACTCTGCCGTGTCGATACTATCTGTCGGTCGGTTACGCTGCGTAGGTCGAAGATGTTGTGTACACGGCTGGCCAAAGTTTGTTCAGTCGCTCGTTGGTTCTCATTAGAGCGTGTACAAATTAAGCATAGACAGCGCCAAGCAGAATTTCACATCGAGACATTTCATCTCGCCCTTCTTCGCGTATCCTCCGTTACATTTTGCGTTACATCTTTATGAACTGTATCTTCTATCGTTTTTTTTATTTGCATCTCGTCCGAAATAAATATTTCCGTCCTATCCGTTCGGTTCGTCGTAAACACGATACGAAACTTCTGTGAAATATATTCCCGCAGCTTCGAGCCACTTTCGCCGTTATTCATAAAACAAATGTTAAGTGCGTGTAAATATTGGTGAAGCTTTTACTGTAACTCGGTCATACCGTGGCACCATTATCGTTCGTTGATGCTCGAGACGGAAAGCGTCGTTCGTGAAAATTTTCTTCGACGATTTTCCACGACGAGTTCTGGTTCGCCAAGTTCGACGTTCTCGTTTACGTCGAATTCGAGTAACTTTAACCCTTAGCGCTCCGCGCGTTTCTCGAGTACCGGCTACAAGCAACTCCGGCACATTTTTGGAGCGGAGCGCCTGAGATAAAGGAGGTCTTATTTTCAGCGGAAAAGATTACACGTCCTGCATTTGATTTTATCGATTTTATAAATATGCATTTTCCTATTGTAAATAAAAGATAAATTTTCAATTTTGTAATTCACCATGGTGCGACATCTTTGGTAACAATCTCCCATGCGCATTCTGGGTTTACTTGGACAAGCGTCGCAGTATTCGCTTTGCCAAATAGAGTTACCAGATATTTCTTTCAAGTTTAGAACATTTTCTGCGTAATCGTTGGTTTCCTTTATAATTTCATTTACCGATTCGTCCGTGAAAAATAATTTAAAATATTGTATCGGCTGTTCGATGTTTGTAGGAACTTGTGGTCCAACGACCCGTGGCAATACGCTAAAAGGTATTCTATCCGGAATATGTAATTCTTCCGTAACACAGCGCCATTCGTCCAAGTCTTGTAACGAATCTTCGCTTTCGCTTTCGATAATTCTCATTCTTCGTCTCTTTGGTAGTAAAATTTCGCTGCTACTACTCGAAGTGTCGGAATCATACCCAACATTGTCTTCCACGATGTCTTTTAACTCTTCAAAATCAAATACGTCTTCGGTACCGCTCGGCTCCAAATTCTCATCGTAATATTTATTTTTCTCCATGTTGCTAACCGCAGAAAAGGTCAAAAAATGGTTTAATCGTAATGGTACAAACTTGGCACGTTTCAACTACAAATAAGAATTGCTAACGCCGACGATAACGTATGCTAAAAATATTTGACTTCGCAGCGGAGCCTTCGGAGCGCTAAGGGTTAAAGAACCCTTTACCACTTTTCAGCGATTCGAAGATCGCATCGTTACGGATTAAATGGCGCCTCTCGCGCGGTACAATTCGTCGGGTGAAAATTTTCGGACAGAACGTGATTCGATATCGATTATCCGATCCCTTTCTCCCGACGATCCTGACGTTCGACGACGAGCGCTAGGCTACAAGTCTAACGTCGCTAAGAACTCAACACAAGTTAACTCACCCTCCCCGACTCTTGACAGAGATTTGCACGTTCTTTGGTTCGCCTACTCACCTGAAACAGTCGATAAGAGAAACCATTAATTAAGAAGCCATTAATTTCTCCGGGGCGCGCAGTAATTACGAACTAATCGGCGCGCTAACTTTATGCATTTATCATTCGCAACGAAAGTGTACAGGACGTGATAAAATTAAGATCACAGCGATGAATGAATGCGGTTTCTATTTTATCTCTGCGCGAGCGTAGAAGCTCGCGGCATCTGCATAAATCTCTCGATCTCGTAAAACGGTAGATCGTAAATGGTGTGATCCGAATAAGCTGATTCGTAAACGTAGTCTCGACCGTGCTAACATTTGTTCGATAAGTTCTGAATTATGGTTGTTCGCGCTTTCGTTAAGATTACTTTATTTATCTTCCATATGCTCCTCGGAGTAAAAATGTAGCAATTTTACTTTAAAATACTGTAAAATCTCTTTAATTTCTTGCTATCCGCGTTACAAAATCTGTTCGTTATCCGAATTTCATTGCAAATGGAGTACGGTTCGATGATTTAAAGCGTGAAACATAATCCGAGAAAGCATTGTCTCTCGTACACGTATTTTCGAGTATAGCTTACGATGGTTGAAAATTTTCATGGGATTCGCAAAATTTCCATGGGATTCGAATCGTTGCGGAAATCGTGACAAAACGAAGGAAAATCCCGTGGCTTAACGCGACCCCGTTTCGATTCGACAATGAGAGAGAATCGGAGAAGCGTTTGATATTCGTTTCGGGAGCGTAATTTCTCTCGGCCGGATTTTATTGGCCGCGTTCCAGCCGGATAATTTTCATAGAGGAGCCACGTCGGTGCAACGACTGACAAATTGCATCGACGTGTCACTGCACTCGGGCGTGCGCGCGCGCGCGCGTACGCGATCGCCGCTCTCAACTGATAAAGTTCATTGGGTCTTTGTCATTTCTCCGGCGTTCTTTGTGCCGATGGCATAAAGAATAATGACCGGCTCGATAATACGGTTCTCATCGCGAAACAAATTGCTGGTGCAGACCGACCGGACGCTGAATGCAGGTTCAGCAACAGCTGATAGAAAGTTTCACGCGTGATTCTACGAAATGTTTCGCAATCGAACGTTCGAGTCAATTGATATTCGGAATACAATTCTATTTCAAATGAATACGGTCGCGCGAACAGAATTTTCGACGAAGACTTCGGACGAATTATTTCGGGGCGTTTGTCTTTCGTTAATCGTAATTATGTTTTTCTTTCTCATGAGCGAAGATCCCTTGAATCGGTCATTGTCTGAAACACCTACATAATGTTGAAATAATTCAGAAAAATAAGCACACGGCCTAATTTTATTCGTAACCTTGTTTCGGGTACTCGTATCGGTACATCAAGAATCGACCCGTGACTACGAAGGATCGAAGTCAAAGATGAATTTCGCTGACCTCGCAGACGACGGAAGTGACGGTGAGCGAACTCGATTACTACGATATGGGAACAATTACGGATCGTCGGGTCGGTTTACGATCGATTGGCAATTGTGATTGAAAAATTACGGGCGCGTCATTAACGACAATGGCGTCGATCGACGTGAATAATTCCACGGCAAAACGGGCGGGGGAGGGGCGCTTATCTGAAACACATATCGCGCTTGTCGCTTCAATCGACTTAACCATGGTAAAACTCTGGTCCGCTCGGTTAGGTTCGTCATCCGCCGAAGCGGCGATCGACGATCGAGGATCGGCGATCCCAGCCGTCTTTGCCTAACAAAACGAACCTAACGAGCCTCTTCAGATTTTTTCGGAGCCGCGCGTGCCCGAGCGACGTTCCCGCGAGCATCGACAGTCGATCCGAACTATAGATTCCCGCAACCTAATCGTCGGTATACCGCAAGTCATCGCGACAATCAGCCGACCGAAACGCGACGCGATTCATCCGAGGCGTCTCGAATCTCGCCTCGCACGAAATTTTCTCACCTTTCCGTTTAATTCGCGGCTCGTTAGCGCTCTCAAAAATTCTAGTTGCGCGCATCGTACCGATCGAGGAAAAAGGTACAAGCGACTATAGAAATAGGTACAGTAATGTCTTCCTAACTGACGCTCAGATTGTGCAGAAAAATGGACAATTTCGGAAGAGGAGATACCATTGTTCGAGCCTTGCGGCTCGTTTTTATAGTTGTCGACGATTCGTGACTATAAAAATGAACCGCAAGGATCGAATAATAATCGTCTCTCTTCTCCCTGAGTTGTTCAATTTTGTGGACAATCTGTGCGTCAATTAGGGAGACATTAAGCAAGACGTTTAAACGACTTCGGATATTATTGTGTCACTATGAACTCGTTGAAAAGATCAAGAAAAGAAATAATAATAATTTATGTAAGATATTATGTATTGGGTTGGCAACTAAGTAATTGCCGATTTCAGTTAAATGAGTAAACGAATGCGTCGGAGAAATATATTTTCTAGTAGTTCAAGGATACAGTAATGTCTCCCTAACTGACGCTCGGACAGACGAAAGACTTTTACCCGGCGACGATTCGTCATAAGTTTGATGCGCGAACAAAAACAGAGTACGGTTACGCTTGGGAAAGTGAGAATCTACAGATAACGGATAGAGAAGCTACGGGGAATTCGATCGTAAATATTTTCCGAGCAGGCAAGCATCTGCGCGATTTCGCGAGGGAATTCCGATAAGAGGAAACCACCGAGTCCGAATTCTTTCTCGCAACGCGGTGCTGTAATCACCGCAACTGTCGCGGTTTCCACACCCGACGATTCATAAGAGCTCGATTATCAGCGGCCAATGAGAGCAAACGGTTTAACGATAGCACGCTGATAACCGTGATTCAGCGGCCGCTGAATCCCGTCGACTCGCGCCCGACCTCGGATAATATTGAAATAAACAATAAATAATAATAGACTCGCACAATGGCATTCTTTCACGAGAATGCGTCGGAATGATTCATAAGCTTACGCGGCTCTTGATGCGACTAATTGTCGGCGGTATCGGTCTTCTAACCCTTTCAATGTTTAGAACGCGGTACGGACACGTTGTTTAATTCGTAGCGTTTATTACAAATTTTCACCTGTCACGATCTTTCTATGAATTATAATATGAATGTAATGTAAGCGCAAGTGATACGATCCGAATTGAATTCGTTCGATACGAATATAATTTGAAGTCGTAAAATATGATGTATGAAAAGAATAAAATAAATACAAAAAATAACAACAATAAATGTATAATAAATACAAAAAGGAGATTTTTCTCTTATTATAATTTTCCATTTTAGTAAGCATCGAAAGCGTTAAATGCTGGTTCGTTTTGAAAAGAGATTCACCCAAAGCCGAATAAAATTTCGTAATGGCGAGAGGAAGCCGTTAAGTGATACAGAAATCTCGATACAGTAAATTCTCCCTAATTCGCGCTCAGATTGTGCACAAAAATGGATAATTTGCGAAGAGGAGGTACGATTATTCTAGCCTTGTTTTTATAACCGTTGGCAATCGGTAACTATAAAAATGAGCCGCGAGACTCGAACGATCGTATCTCCTCTTTCAAAAAATTGTCCATTTTTGTGCACAATCCGAACGTCGAATTGGGAAGAATATATCGAGATTTTTCCAGAACTCCGTCGATAGCGAAGGAAGTATCGGGAGTTTACGGCGAGGCCGTTTCAGAGGCTTCTTGCTCCGCTGGAAATAGGAATAAAATGGCGGATTAAAAAGCCTCGACGAAGTCGGCGTAGAAGCGGATCGGAAAATCGATGAAGCGTGCAAGAAATTCGCTGAAAGTCGCCTTAACGACTCCCGATACACGCCGGGCTGTCACAGTTGCGTGCCACGTGGACGTATAATGATTCATAGAGGACACGGCGCGGCACAGCACCGACCGAATGTATTAGAAACCTCTCGCGATCGATGAAAAGAACTACACGAAAGACTCCGAACGGTTAGAAAGTCCGTAGAATTTTCTGCAGTCCTTGGAGCGTAAGTTCTGTTGTAGTCGAGGTTGAATCGTGCGGGTATCCGTGAAAAGAATGAAAAACTGTCATGCATTATTGCCGCCGAGTCTCGTTCGCGTAGCTAAAAGTGACTCGCGAGAGAGTGAAACTATTCTAATGGGACGTACGTGTGCCGCGTCGCGTCTATCCGAGAGCAAGACTCGAGATCAAAATTATTGGAAAATTGCTGTTGGTGGTACAGAGTAATGTCTCCCTTACCGACGCTCAGATTGTCCGCTAAAATGGATAATTTGGGAAGAGGAGACACGATTATTCGAGCCTTGCGGCTCAGTTTTAATTTACATATATTATTATATTATTATATATTATACAATTTAAAATAATTGTGGACAATTTACAACTATAAAAATAAACTACAAGGCTCGAATAATCGTATCTCCTCTTCCAAAATTGTCCATTTTTGAGCACGATCTGAGCGTCAGTTAGGGAGACTATGTATGGTGACATCCGACAGTAAATTAAATCGAGCGATTTAATGATTCAAGCCCTTTACGTAATTCAAAGTTTAAGCATGAGATTGGTACTGCGCTATGTTACATTGTATTTGTCGAGGTTTCCTTATTCCGCATCGTCACGATTGTATTGCTCGTGTACACAATTCGCGTGTTTCTTCGAAGCAACGTAATGTACATAATACAAAGTATATAACTGAGAAAACCCTTCCTTGTAAACACGCGGCTTAAGATTGGCTGAAAGAATAGAGATTTATCTACAGGTTGAAGCCCCGCTACTCTAAACACGAAGGTTAAGAAACTATTTCCACTAATAGCTTCTATTCTAGGTGATACGACGCCACCGTTGCGTTGCTTGTCCACTCGAGAATCGCGCGCAGAATTTATTTTTCTATTCTCGAGAGAAATCCACGCATTCGAGTCTGTTCTAAAACGAAGATTTAACCTTTTAGGTACGGCTGAATTCTGCGCGAGGCTATTTCTCTGGACGGCAGAGTCTGATGTGTACTGTACAGAGTCTGATACTGTGTATACAGGGTGTCCCAAAAATGTCTCGCAATCCGAAAGTGGCGGGTT